GTAGGGCCAAGGAGAACGGAAACGCTCATTTCTCAAAAAGTAGAGGGAATCTAGCGGTCTCACTCGATCAAAAGGTGGGAAATATATAAATCTAACGAGCTAATAAGGTTCGAAAGGAATCTAATGCATATGTATATGGAAAATGGTGCATTGGCCAGGTCGGTCAGTATGGGAACTTAGAGTGCAAATGCCAGGGAGAACGGAAGCGCTCAGATCTCGCATAGTACACGGAATCTAGTGGTCTCACTCAAATAAAAGGTAGAAAATAAATTCATCTAGTGGACGTAAGGGTTTGAAAGGTAACTAACGCACATGTGTAGAGAAAATGGAGCCTCGGCCAGTCTCGCCAGCATTTCGCACTTATAGTGCAAGTAGGGCCAAGGAGAACGGAAACGCTCATTTCTCAAAAAGTAAAGGGAATCTAGCAGTCTCACTCGATTAGAAGGTGGGAAATATATAAAATCTAGTGAGCTAATAATGTTCGGAAGGAATCTAATGCATATGTATATGGAAAGTGGTGCATTGGCCAGGTCAGTCAGTATGGGAACTTAGAGTGCAAATGCCTCGGAGAACGGAACCGCTCAGATCTCGCATAATACATGGAATCTAGTGGTCTCACTCAAATATAAGGTAAGAAATATATGCATCTAGTGAATGTAAGGGTTTGAAAGGTAACTAACGCACATGTGTAGAGAAAATTGCGCATCGGCCAGTCTGGCCGGCATTTCGCACTTATAGTGCAAGTAGGGCCAAGGAGAACGGAAACGCTCATTTCTCAAAAAGTAGAGGGAATCTAGAGGTCTCACTCGATCAAAAGGTGGGAAATATATAAATCTAATGAGCTAATAAGGTTCTAAAGGAATCTAATGCATATGTATATGGAAAATGGTGCATTGGCCAGGTCGGTCAGTATGGGAACTTAGAGTGCAAATGCCAGGGAGAACGGAAGCGCTCAGATCTCGCATAGTATACGGAATCTAGTGGTTTCACTCAAATAGAAGGTAGGAAATAAATTCATCTAGTGGACGTAAGGGTTTGAAAGGTAAATAACGCACATGTGTAGAGAAAATGGAGCATCGGCCAGTCTCGCCAGCATTTCGCACTTATAGTGCAAGTAGGGCCAAGGAGAACGGAAACGCTCATTTCTCAAAAAGTAAAGGGATTCTAGCAGTCTCACTCGATTAGAAGGTGGGAAATATATAAATCTAGTGAGCTAATAAGGTTCGAAAGGAATCTAATGCATATGTATATGGAAAATGGTGCATTGGCCAGGTCGGTCAGTATGGGAACTTAGAGTGCAAATGCCAGGGAGAACGGAAGCGTTCAGATCTCGCATAGTACACGGAATCTAGTGGTCTCACTCAAATATAAGGTAGGAAATAAATTCATCTAGTGAACGTAAGGGTTTGAAAGGTAACTAACGCACATGTGTAGAGAAAATGGAGCATCGGCCAGTCTGGCCGGCATTTCGCACTTATAGTGCAAGTAGGGCCAAGGAGAACGGAAACGCTCATTTCTCAAAAAGTAAAGGGAATCTAGCACTCTCACTCGATCAGAAGGTGGGAAATATATAAATCTAGTGAGCTTATAAGGTTCGAAAGGAATCTAATGCATATGTATATGGAAAATGGTGCATTGGCCAGGTCGGTCAGTATGGGAACTTAAAGTGCAAATGCCTGGGAGAACGGAACCGCTCAGATCTCGCATAATACACGGAATCTAGTGGTCTCACTCAAATATAAGGTAGGAAATATATTCATCTAGTGAACATAAGGGTTTGAAAGGTAACTAACGCACATGTGTAGAGAAAATGGTGCATCGGCCAGTCTGGCCGGCATTTCGCACTCATAGTGCAGGTGGGGCCAGGGAGAACGGAAACGCTCGTTTCTCAAAAAGTAGAGGGAATCTAATGGTCTCATTTGATCAGAAGGTGGGAAATATATAAATCTAGTCAGCTAAAAAGGTTTGAAATGTATTCAACGCACATGTATAGAGAAAATGGTGCATTGGCCAGGTCGGTCAGTATCGGAACTTAAAATGCAAATGCCAGGGAGAACGGAAGCGCTCAGATCTCGCATAGTACACGGAATCAAGTGGTCTCACTCAAATAGAAAGTAGGAAATATATTCATCTAGTGAACGTAAGGGTTTGAAAGGTAACTAACGCACATGTGTAGAGAAAATGGTGCGTCGGCCAGTCTGGCCGGCATTTCGCACTTATAGTGCAAGTAGGGCCAAGGAGAACGGAAATGCTCATTTCTCAAAAAGTAAAGGGAATCTAGCGGTCTCACTCGATCAAAAGGTGGGAAATATATAAATCTAGTGAGCTAATAAGGTTCGAAAGGAATCTAATGCATATGTATATGGAAAGTGGTGCATTGGCCAGGTCGGTCAGTATGGGAACTTAGAGTGCAAATGCCTGGGATAACGGAACCGCTCAGATCTCGCATAATACACGGAATCTAGTGGTCTCACTCAAATATAAGGTAGGAAATATATTCATCTAGTGAACGTAAGGGTTTGAAAGGTAACTAACGCACATGTGTAAAGAAAATGGTGCATCGGCCAGTCTGGCCGGCATTTCGCACTCATAGTGCAGGTGGGGCCAGGGAGAACGGAAACGCTCGTTTCTCAAAAAGTAGAGGGAATCTAACGGTCTCACTCGATCAGAAGGTGGGAAATATATAAATCTAGTCAGCTAAAAAGGTTTGAAATGTATTCAACGCACATGTATAGAGAAAATGGTGCATTGGCCAGGTCGGTCAGTATCGGAACTTAAAATGCAAATGCCAGGGAGAACGGAAGCGCTCAGATCTCGCATAGTACACGGAATCAAGTGGTCTCACTCAAATAGAAAGTAGGAAATATATTCATCTAGTGAACGTAAGGGTTTGAAAGGTAACTAACGCACATGTGTAGAGAAAATGGTGCTTCGGCCAGTCTGGCCGGCATTTCGCACTTATAGTGCAAGTAGGGCCAAGGAGAACGGAAATGCTCATTTCTCAAAAAGTAAAGGGAATCTAGCGGTCTCACTCGATCAAAAGGTGGGAAATATATAAATCTAGTGAGCTAATAAGGTTCGAAAGGAATCTAATGCATATGTATATGGAAAATGGTGCATTGGCCAGGTCGGTCAGTATGGGAACTTAGAGTGCAAATGCCAGGGAGAACGGAAGCGCTCAAATCTCGCATAGTACACAGAATCTAGTGGTCTCACTCAAATAGAAGGTAGGAAATAAATTCATCTAGTGAACGTAAAGGTTTGAAAGGTAACTAACCCAGATGTGTAGAGAAAATGCTGCATCGGCCAGTCTGACCGGCATTTCGCACTTATAGTGCAAGTAGGGCCAAGGAGAACGGAAACGCTCATTTCTCAAAAAGTAAAGGGAATCTAGCGGTCTCACTCGATCAGAAGGTGGGAAATATATAAATCTAGTGAGCTAATAAGGTTCGAAAGGAATCTAATGCATATGTATATGGAAAGTGGTGCATTGGCCAGGTCGGTCAGTATGGGAACTTAGAGTGCAAATGCCTGGGAGAACGGAACCGCTCAGATCTCGCATAATGCACGGAATCTAGTGGTCTCACTCAAATATAAGGTAGGAAATATATTCATCTAGTGAACGTAAGGGTTTGAAAGGTAACTAACGCACATGTGTAGAGAAAATGGTGCATCGGCCATTCTGGCCGGCATTTCGCACTTATAGTGCAACTAGGGCCAAGGAAAACGGAAACGCTCATTTCTCAAAAAGTAGACGGAATCTAGCTGTATCACTCGATCAGAAGGTGGGAAATATATAAATCTAGTGAGCTAATAAGGTTCGAAAGGAATCTAATGCATATGTATATGGAAAATGGTGCATTGGCCAGGTCGGTCAGTATGGGAACTTAGAGTGCAAATGCCAGGGAGAACGGAAGCGTTCAGATCTCGCATAGTACACGGAATCTAGTGGTCTCACTCAAATAGAAGGTAGGAAATAAATTCATCTAGTGAACGTAATGGTGTGAAAGGTAACTAACGCACATGTGTAGAGAAAATGGTGCATCGGCCAGTCTGGCCGGCATTTCGCAATTATAGTGCAAGTAGGGCCAAGGAGAACGGAAACGCTCATTTCTCAGAAAGTAAAGGGAATCTAGCGGTCTCACTCGATCAGAAGGTGGGAAATATATAAATCTAGTGAGCTAATAAGGTTTGGAAGGAATCTAATGCATATGTATTTGGAAAGTGGTGCATTGGCCAGGTCGGTCAGTATGGGAACTTAGAGTGCAAATGCCTGGGAGAACGGAACCGCTCAGATCTCGCATAATACACGGAATCTAGTGGTCTCACTCAAATATAAGGTAGGAAATATATTCATCTAGTGAACGTAAGGGTTTGAAAGGTAACTAAGGCACATGTGTCGAGAAAATTGTGCATTGGCCACTCTAGCCGGCATTTCGCACTCATAGTGCAGGTGGGGCCAGGGAGAACGGAAACGCTCGTTTCTCAAAAAGTTGAGGGAATCTAACGGTCTCACTTGATGAGAAGGTGGGAAATATATAAATCAAGTTAGCTAAGAAGGTTTGAAATGTATTCAATGCACATGTATAGAGAAAATGGTGCATTGGCCAGGTCGGTCAGTATCGGAACTTAAAATGCAAATGCCAGGGAGAACGGAAGCGCTCAGATCTCGCATAGTACACGGAATCAAGTGGTCTCACTCAAATAGAAAGTAGGAAATCTATTCATCTAGTGAACATAAGGGTTTGAAAGGTAACTAACGCACATGTGTAGAGAAAATTGTGCATCGGCCAGTCTGGCTGGCATTTCGCACTTATAGTGCAACTAGGGCCAAGGAGAACGGAAACGCTCATTTCTCAAAAAGTAGAGGGAATCTAGCGGTCTCACTCGATCAGAAGGTGGGAAATATATAAATCTAGTGAGCTAATAAGGTTCAAAAGGAATCTAATACATATGTATATGGAAAATGGTGCATTGGCCAGGTCGCTCAGTATGGGAACTTAGAGTGCAAATGACATGGACGTGGACGTGGACGTGGACATGGGCATGGACATGGACGTGGACATGGACGTGGACGTGGACATGGACGTGGATGTGGACATGGACGTGGACGTGTCCATGTCCATGTCCACGTCCACGTCCACGTCTATGTCCACGTCCACGTTGACGTCCACGTCCATGTCCATGTCCATGTCCACGTCCACGTCCACGTCCACGTCCATGTCCAAGTCCATGTCCCTGTCTACGTCCACGTCGACGTCCATGTCCACGTCCACGTCCTCGTCCACGTCCAGGTCCACGTCCATGTCTACGTCCACGTCCACGTCCACGTCCATGTCCACGTCCACGTCCATGTCCACGACCACGTCCACGTCCACGACCACGTCCACGTCCACGTCCACGTCCACGTCTAAGTCCATGTCCACGTCCACGTCCACGTCCACGTCCACATCCACGACCATGTCTTCGTCCACATCCACGTCCACATCCACGACCATGTCTTCGTCCACATCCACGTCCACGTCCATGTCCACGTCCATGTCCACGTCCAAGTTCTCCACGTCCACGTCCACTTCCACGTCGACGTCCACGTACATGTCCACGTCCATGTCCACGTCCACGTCCATGTCCACGTCCACGTCCATGTCCACGTCCACGTCCACGTCCACGTCCACGTCCACGTCCATCTCCACGTCCAAGTCCTCCACGTCCACTCCACGTCCATGTCCACGTCCACGTCCACGTCCACGTCCATGTCCACGTCCACGTCCATGTCCACGTCCACGTCCACGTCCACGTCCACGTCCACGTCCACGTCCACGTCCACGTCCACGTCCACGTCCACGTCCACGTCCACGTCCACGTCCACGTCCACTCCACGTCCACGTCCACGTCCACGTCCATGTCCACGTCCATGTCCACGTCCATGTCCACGTCCACGTCCACGTCCACGTCCACGTCCACGTCCACGTCCACGTCCATGTCCACGTCCATGTCCACGTCCAAGTTCTCCACGTCCACGTCCACGTCCACGTCCAAGTTCTCCACGTCCACGTCCACGTCCACGTCCACGTCCACGTCCACGTCCACCTCTACGTCCATGTCCACGTCCACGTCCACGTCCACCTCCACGTCCACGTCCACGTCCACCTCCACGTCCACGTCCACGTCCACGTCCACGACCACGTCCACGTCCACGTCACGTCCACGTCCACGTCCACGTCCACGTCCACGTCCACGTCCACGTCCATGTCCACGTCCACGTCCACGTCCACGCCACGTCCACGTCCACGTCCACGTCCACGTCCACGACCACGTCCACGTCCACGTCCACGTCCACGTCCACGTCCACGTCCACGTCCACGTCCACCTCCACGTCCACCTCCACGTCCACCTCCACGTCCACGTCCACGACCACGTCCACGTCCACGTCCACGTCCACGTCCACGACCACGTCCACGACCACGTCCACGTCCACGTCCACGTCCACGTCCACGTCCACGTCCACGTCTACGTCGACGTCAACGTCCACGTCCACTCCACGTCCACGTCCACGTCCACGTCCACGACCACGTCCACGTCCACGTCCACGTCTACGTCCACGTCTACGTCCACGTCCACGTCCACGTCCACGTCCACGTCCACTCCACGTCCACTCCACGTCCATGTCCATGTCCACGTCCAAGTCCTCCACGTCCACGTCCACGTCCACGTTCACGTCCATGTCCACGTCCAAGTTCTCCACGTCCACGTCCACGTCCAAGTTCTCCACGTCCACGTCCACGTCCACGTCCTCCACGTCCACGTCCACGTCCACGTCCACGTCCACGTCCACGTCCACGTCCAGTCCACGTCCACGTCCACGTTCACGTCCACGTCCACGTCCACGTCCACGTCCACGTCCACGTCCATGTCCACGTCCATGTCCACGTCCAGGTCCACGTCCACGTCCACGTCCACGTCCATGTCCACGTCCATCTCCACGTCCAAGTTCTCCACGTCCACGTCCACGTCCACGTCCAAGTTCTCCACGTCCACGTCCACGTCCACGTCCACGTCCACGTCCACGTCCATGTCCACGTCCACGTCCACGTCCACCTCCACGTCCATGTCCACGTCCACGTCCACGTCCACTCCACGTCCACGTCCACGTCCACGTCAACGTCCACGTCCCTGTCCACGTCCAGGTCCACGTCTACGTCCACGTCCAGTCCACGTCCACGTCCACGTACACGTCCACGTCCACGTCCACGTCCACGTCACGTCCACGTCCACGTCCACGTCCACGTCCACGTCCACGTCACGTCCACGTCCACGTCAACGTCCACGTCCACGTCCACGTCCACGACCACGTCCATGTCCACGTCCACGTCCACGTCCACGTCCACGTCCACGTCCACGTCCACCTCCACGTCCACCTCCACGTCCACCTCCACGTCCTTGTCAATGTCCATGTCCACGTCCACGTCCACGTCCACGTCCACGTCCACGTCCACGACCACGTCCACGTCCACGTCCACGTCCATGTCCACGTCCATGTCCACGTCCACGTCCACGTCCACGTCTATGTCCACGTCCATGTCCACGTCCAAGTCCTCCACGTCCACGTCCACGTCCATGTCCACGTCCATGTCCACGTCCACGTCCACGTCCATGTCCACGTTAACGTCCATGTCCACGTCCACGTCTATGTCCACGTTAACGTCCACGTCCACGTCACGCCCACGTCCACGTCCACGTCCACGTCCACGTCCATGTCCACGACGTCCACGACGTCCACGTCCACGTCCACGTCCGCGTCCACGTCCTCGTCCACGTCCGCGTCCACGACCACGTCCACGTCCATGTCCGCGTCCACATCCACGTCTACGTCTACGTCCATGTCCAAGTCCATGTCCGCGTCCGCGTCCACGTCCACGTCCACGTCCACGTCCGCGTACACGTCCCCGTCCAGGTCCACGTCCACGTCCACGTCCACGTCCACGACCACGTCCACGTCCGCGTCCACGTCCACGTCCACGTCCATGTCCACGTCCACGTCCACGTCTACGTCCACGTCCACGTCCATGTCCACGTCCACGTCCATGTCCACGTCCACGTCCATGTCCACGTCCATGTCATTTGCACTCGAAGTTCCCATACTGATAGACCTGGCCAATGCACCATTTTCCATATACATATGCATTAGATTCCTTTCAAACCTTTTTAGCTCACTAGATTTATATATTTCCCACCTTCTGATTGAGTGAGACGGTTAGATTCCCTCTACTTTTTGAGAAACGAGCGTTTCCGTTCTCCCTGGCCCCACCTGCACTATGAGTGCGAAATGCCGGCCAGATTGGCCGATGCACCATTTTCTCTACACATGTGCGTTAGTTACCTTTCAAACCCTTACGTTCACTAGATGAATATATTTCCTACCTTATATTTGAGTGAGACCACTAGATTCCGTGTATTATGCGAGATCTGAGCAGTTCCGTTCTCCCAAGCATTTGCACTCTAAGTTCCCATACTGACCGACCTGGCCAATGCACCACTATCCATATACATATGCATTAGATTCCTTCCGAACCTTCTGATCGAGTGAGACCGCTAGATTCCCTTTACGTTTTGAGAAATGAGCGTTTCCGTTCTCCTTGGCCCTACTTGCACTATAAGTGCGAAATGCCGGCCAGACTGGCGGATGCACCATTTTCTCTACACATGTGCGTTAGTTACCTTTCAAACCCTTACGTTCACTAGATGAATTTATTTCCTACCTTCTATTTGAGTGAGACCACTAGATTCCGTGTACTATGCGAGATCTGAGCGCTTCCGTTCTCCCTGGCATTTCCACTCTAAGTTCCCATACTGACCGACCTGGCCAATGCACCATTTTCCATATACATATGCATTAGATTCCTTTCGAACCTTATTAGCTCACTAGATTTATATATTTCCCACCTTCTGATTGAGTGAGACCACTAGATTCCCTCTTCTTCTTGAGAAATGAGCGTTTCCGTTCTCCTTGGCCCTAGTTGCACTATATGTGCGAAATGCCGGCCAGACTGGCCGATGCACAATTTTCTCTACACATGTGCGCTAGTTACCTTTCAAACCCTTACGTTCACTAGATGAATATATTTCCTACTTTCTATTTGAGTGAGACCACTTGATTCCGTGTACTATGCGAGATCTGAGCGCTTCCGTTCTCCCTGGCATTTGCATTTTAAGTTCCGATACTGACCGACCTGGCCAATGCACCATTTTCTCTATACATGTGCGTTGAATACATTTCAAACCTTTTTAGCTGACTAGATTTATATATTTCCCACCTTCTGATCGAGTGAGACCGTTAGATTCCCTCTACTTTTTGAGAAACGAGCGTTTCCGTTCTACCTGGCCCAACCTGCACTAGGAGTGCGAAATGCCGGCCAGACTGGCCGATGCACCATTTTCTCTACACATGTGCATTAGTTACCTTTCAACCCTTACGTTCACTAGATGAATATATTTCCTACCTTATATTTGAGTGAGACCACTAGATTCTGTGTATTATGCGAGACCTGAGCGGTACCGTTCTCCCAGGCATTTGCACTCTAAGTTCCCATACTGACCGACCTGGCCAATGCACCACTTTCCATATACATATGCATTAGATTCCTTGTGAACCTTATAAGCTGACTAGATTTATATATTTCCCACCTTTTGATCGAGTGATCCCGCTAGATTCCCTTTACTTTCTGAGAAATGAGCGTTTCCGTTCTCCTTGGCCCTACTTGCACTCTGAGTGCGAAATGCCGGCCAGACTGGCCGATGCACAATTTTATCTACACATGTGCGTTAGTTACCTTTCAAACCCTTACGTTCACTAGATGAATATATTTCCTACCTTATATTTGAGTGAGACCACTAGATTCCGTGTATTATGCGAGATATGAGCGGTTCTGTTCTCCCAGGCATTTGCACTGAAGTTCCCATACTGACCGACCTGGCCAATGCACCACTTTCCATATACATATGCATTAGATTCCTTTCAAACCCTAAACCCTAAACCCCAAAATAAAAAGAACGAGGGCCTAGCGTGTGCAAAATAAAAAGAACAAGGGCCTAGCGTGTGCAAAATTGCAAGAACAAGGGCCTAACGTGTGCAAAATTGCAAGAACAAGGGCCTAGCGAGTGCAAAATAGCAAGAGCAAGGGCCTAGCGTGTGCAAAAAATCAAGAACAAGGGCCTAGCGTTCGCGAAATAGCAAGAACAAGGGCCTAGCATGTGCAAAAAAAAAAGAACAAGGGTCTAGCATGTGCAAAATTGCAAGAACAAGGGCCTAGCATGTGCAAAAAAAAAAGAACAAGGGCATAGCGTGTGCAAAATAAAAAGAACAAGGGCATAGCGTGTGCAAAATAAAAAGAACAAGGGCCTAGCGTGTGCAAAATAAAAAGAACAAGGGTCTAGCGTGTGCAAAATTGCAAGAACAAGGGCCTAGCGTGTGCAAAATTGCAAGAACAAAGGCCTAGCGAGTGCAAAATAAAAAGAGCAGGGGCCTAGCGTGTGCAAAAAATCAAGAACAAGGGCCTAGCGTTCGCGAAATTGCAAGAACAAGGTCCTAGCGTGTGCAAAATGAAAAGAACAAGGGTCTAGCCTGTGCAAAAATGCAAGAACAAGGGCCTAGCGTGTGCAAAATAAAAAGAACAAGGGCATAGCGTGTGCAAAATAGCAAGAACAAGGGCCTAGCGTGTGCAAAATAAAAAGAACAAGGGCCTAGCGTGTGCAAAATAAAAAGAACAAGGGCATAGCGTGTGCAAAATAGCAAGAACAAGGGCCTAGCGTGTGCAAAATTAAAAGAACAAAGGCCTAGCGTGTGCAAAATAGCAAGAACAAGGGCCTAGCGTGTGCAAATTTGTAAGAACAAGGGCCTAGCGTGTGCAGAATTGCAATAACAAGGGCCTAGCGAGTGCAAAATAGCAAGAGCAAGGGCCTAGCGTGTGCAAAAAATCAAGAACAAGGGCCTAGCGTGTGCAAACTAAAAAGAACAAGGGCCTAGCGTGTGCAAAATTGCAAGAACAAGGGCCTAGCGTGTGCAAAATTGCAAGAACAAAGGCCTAGCGAGTGCAAACTAAAAAGAGCAGGGGCCTAGCGTGTGCAAAAAATCAAGAACAAGGGCCTAGCGTTCGCGAAATTGCAAGAACAAGGTCCTAGCGTGTGCAAAATAAAAAGAACAAGGGTCTAGCAGGTGCAAGATTGCAAGAACAAGGGCCTAGCGTGTGCAAAATAAAAAGAACAACGGCATAGCGTGTGCAAAATAAAAAGAACAAGAGCCTAGCGTGTGCAAAATAAAAAGAACAAGGGCCTAGCGTGTGCAAAATTGCAAGAACAAGGGCCTAGCATGTGCAAAATTGCAAGAACAAGGGCCTAGCGAGTGCAAAATAGCAAGAGCAAGGGCCTAGCGTGTGCAAAAAATCAAGAACCAGGGCCTAGCGTGTGCAAAACTGCAAGAACAAGGGCCTAAGGTGTGCAAAACTGCAAGAACAAGGGCCTAGCGAGTGCAAAATAGCAAGAGCAAGGGCCTAGCGTGTGCAAAAAATCAAGAACAAGGGCCTAGCATTCGCGAAATAGCAAGAACAAGGGCCTAGCGTGTGCAAAATAAAAAGAACAATGGCCTAGCATGTGCAAAATTGCAAGAACAAGGGCCTAGCGTGTGCAAAATAAAAAGAACAAGGGTCTAGCAGGTGCAAGATTGCAAGAACAAGGGCCTAGCGTGTGCAAAATAAAAAGAACAAGGGCATAGCGTGTGCAAAATAAAAAGAACAAGGGCCTAGCGTGTGCAAAATAAAAAGAACAAGGGCCTAGCGTGTGCAAAATTGCAAGAACAAGGGCCTAGCATGTGCAAAATTGCAAGAACAAGGGCCTAGCGAGTGCAAAATAGCAAGAGCAAGGGCCTAGCGTGTGCAAAAAATCAAGAACAAGGGCCTAGCGTGTGCAAAATAGCAAGAACAAGGGCCTAAGGTGTGCAAAATTGCAAGAACAAGGGCCTAGCGAGTGCAAAATAGCAAGAGCAAGGGCCTAGTGTGTGCAAAAAATCAAGAACAAGGGCCTAGCATTCGCGAAATAGCAAGAACAAGGGCCTAGCGTGTGCAAAATAAAAAGAACAAGGGCCTAGCATGTGCAAAATTGCAAGAACAAGGGCCTAGCATGTGCAAAATAAAAAGAACAAGGGCATAGCGTGTGCAAAATAAAAAGAACAAGGGCATAGCGTGTGCAAAATAAAAAGAACAAGGGCCTAGCGTGTGCAAAATAAAAAGAAAAAGGGCCTAGCGTGTGTAAAATTGCAAGAACAAGGGCCTAGCGTGTGCAGAATTGCAAGAACAAGGGCCTAGCGAGTGCAAAATAGCAAGAGCAAGGGCCTAGCGTGTGCAAAAAATAAAAAACAACGGCCAGGCATACGCGAAGCTGCAAGAACAAGGGCATAGCGTGTGCAAAATAAAAAGAACAAGGGCCTAGCGTGTGCAAAATAAAAAGAACAAGGGCCTAGCGTGTGCAAAATTGCAAGAACAAGGGCCTAGCGTGTGCAAAATTGCAAGAACAAGGGCCTAGCGAGTGCAAAATAGCAAGAGCAAGGGCCTAGCGTGTGCACAAAATCAAGAACAAGGGCCTAGCGTTCGCGAAGCTGCAAAAACAAGGGCCTAGCGTGTGCAAAATGAAAAGAACAAGGGTCTAGCATGTGCAAATTTGCAAGAACAAGGGCCTAGCGTGTGCAAAATAAAAAGAACAAGGGCATAGCGTGTGCAAAATAGCAAGAACAAGGGCCTAGCGTGTGCAAAATAAAAAGAACAAGGGCCTAGCGTGTGCAAAATTGCAAGAACAAGGGCCTAGCATGTGCAAAATATAAGAACAAGGGCCTAGCGTGTGCAAAATAAAAAGAACAAGGGCCTAGCGTGTGCAAAATTGCAAGAGCAAGGGCCTAGCGTGTGCAAAATAAAAAGAACAAGGGTCTAGCATGTGCAAAATTGCAAGAACAAAGGCCTAGCGTGTGCAAAATAAAAAGAACAAGGGCATAGCGTGTGCAAAATAGCAAGAACTAGGGCCTAGCATGTGCAAAATATAAGAACAAGGGCCTAGCGTGTGCAAAATAAAAAGAACAAGGGCCTAGCGTGTGCAAAATTGCAACAGCAAGGGCCTAGCGTGTGCAAAATAAAAATAACAAGGGTCTAGCAGGTGCAAGATTGCAAGAACAAGGGCCTAGCGTGTGCAAAATAAAAAGAACAACGGCATAGCGTGTGCAAAATAAAAAGAACAAGAGCCTAGCGTGTGCAAAATAAAAAGAACAAGGGCCTAGCGTGTGCAAAATTGCAAGAACAAGGGCCTAGCATGTGCAAAATTGCAAGAACAAGGGCCTAGCGAGTGCAAAATAGCAAGAGCAAGGGCCTAGCGTGTGCAAAAAATCAAGAACCAGGGCCTAGCGTGTGCAAAACTGCAAGAACAAGGGCCTAAGGTGTGCAAAACTGCAAGAACAAGGGCCTAGCGAGTGCAAAATAGCAAGAGCAAGGGCCTAGCGTGTGCAAAAAATCAAGAACAAG